ACCTGCATTTGCGCAAATTTAGTATCTAAAAATTTAGTGAAATTAGTCCAATCTGCGTCTTGGAGCTTATATTTAAGGAGGGGCATAGTAAAGGGTAAAGGAAAAACCGCATTGGGTTTGGTAATGAGAATGGGAAAGTGATCACTTCCATATGATTGATTGAGGGTTTTCCAAGAAAGCTGAGGGGCTAGACTAGGAGAACAAGCTGTTAGGTCGACAGCAGACCTAGGGTCTAGTCCTGGGTATACTCTATGAGTGGGGGAACCATTGTTGATAATGCAAGCATTAATGTCTTCAAAAATTTGTATAAGTTCTGAAGAGTATATGTCACAAAAATGTGACCCCCAAGATACATGATGTGAATTAAAATCACCGGTAATAATAAAAGGGGGAGGTAACAAAGAGAAGAGAGAGGATAGTTCTTGAATTAAGTGGGTATTTGGATGAGGGATATATATTGAAATAATGTTGATTCCTGCAATTTTTGCAGCTACGGCATTAATGTGTTGGCTATGAGGAGGGAGTGCAATTTGAGAGAAGGGTAGGGATTTTTTTATGAGTAAGCAACAACCACCATAACCATCATTTCTATCTTCACGGAGGCAAGTAAAGCCTTGCAAGCGAAATTTGGAGTTAGGTAGGAACCATGTTTCTGAAATTGAAGCAACAGAAATTGAATGTTTATTTATTAGGAAGATGAGTTCAGATTTTTTAGGTTGCAAGCTTCTACAGTTCCATTGAAGGAGATGGAGGTCTTTTGTTTGAGTCATTTATATTATCTATTAAACTAGCTAAATTAAAGATTTTTTCTGCAACGTTGTTCGGTAGTGAATCTGACATTTTCAAAATTAAATTATTGAGGAGGGAAATTAGGCATTCAACAAGATTTTCATTTGGAGATATTTGGTTGTGCGTGTTGGATAAAGCGCATCCATTTGGAGTAGAGGATGGGCAGTCTGCAACTATTCTTTGATGAGCTTGTTGGTCATACCCCATGGGAATTCTAGGTATGGGGCGGGGAGGTTTGAAGATGGTTTTTCTATATGCCTGTGACATGGTGGGGAGGTTGAAGGAAGTAGTAGGAGTAGGTGAAAGCTGAGTAGAGGCCACTTCGGAATACGGTTTTTGAGGATTGTTCAATCGGATAGATGGGATTTTGGCTGAAGCTTCTGTATAGGATATATTTTGTTCTGACATCATAACTTTGATAGAAATCTGCCTTTGGTGTTCCGGACAGTTTTTGTTATTAGCAAAATGATTTTTGGAGCATAACAGACAAGTGGCTTCACTTTCAGGAACAGAACAACTTGCTCCAGTATGCTCTTGGGCACAACGGAAGCAGCGTGGTTTAGAACGGCATTGATCTGCTATGTGGCCAAATCGACAACAGTGTTTGCACTGGATGGAGGGGAGTTGATAAGTTTCAACAGCAAGGGATGTGTAAAATGCATATATATATTTGGGGAGTAACTGACCTTCAAATGTCAGAACAATAGATTGAGTGGGAACCCATATTGGGGATGTTGACCCTTCAGCAAAAGTCTTTCTCTGAAGACGGCGAGCTTTTAGGATTTTACCACAACCAGGAGGAAGCTCAACAGCTTCTGCTAGTTCTTCCATTGACCAATCCACAGGGATACCGCGGATGACACCCATTCGAGAAACATTATAGGATGGAATAGTTGCAATCAATTTTTCTTTTGCAAGCATTGGATTATTAAGAAATTTGTTAGCCTCATCGGCTGAGCAGAATTCAATAGAGATGCGATTTCTGCCAACGCTTTTGACTCCCCCTCTTTTGATGTTTTCTATTTTATTTTTAGACAAGCATAAACCTATTTTAATTGGTCGAAGTGATAGCCCTATTCTAGGATCTGACGTAGCCCGGGAGATGTGGACAATAAAAGGGCCTTGGTCGTTTGGACCATACATTCTAAGATTTTGTTCTAGGCAGGGATGTTTATATATTGTGTTTATTGACGCTGTTAAATCAATTACAGAATTCTTTTTATATATTACTGGATCAAATGATCGAGTCTCAGCGTGTCTTTTTTTACCACGGCCACAATCATTATTGTCACTTACTCCAAAGCACATGTCTTCATCGGGAGGGTCAGGGGGTTTCTCACGAGGAGACCCCGTTTCGTCACCCATAATTGGGTTTAATGTTCGAAATAACTATAACTTATAAACGTAGACTTACAGCAGAGGAATCCACCACCACAAAATAAGGAAATTAAGGAGAATTAACCAAATACCGAAAAGCACTCACAAGTACGTGTTAACCATTCGACCGTTGGCCATAGACCCCTTACGCCCGTTTGGACGCTAAACATGGGTGACAGGTCATGCCCTACCCGCACACAGGCTTTACAGTCACAGTAAAGAGACTGCACAGCCCTTAGCAATCGGCCATCCACACCATACCCCGGCAACAGTTCCCACATTTTCTTCCTTACAACCTTATCAAATGCTTTCTCAAGATCCACAAAAGCACAGAAAATCTTCTGGTTAACAGCCAGAAGCTTTTCCGTGATCATACGGAGAGAAAACATTTGATCCGTGCATCCTCTTCCAGGTCTAAATCCGCATTGTGCCTCCCATAGAAATCTTTCCGATTTCTCGATTTAATAATTAAGTCAGTAATAAGTAAGTATCATAAGTTCACTTAACACTAAGTAACTAAATTCTATTTACTGCTCCATAAATATCACCATAAAATCATTTAGAATGAAAACATCTTCATGTTTTTTGCTTTCAATTTAATACTTTCAATAATTAACATTAAAATAAAATGGCTAATTCTAAATCTCATAAAACTAACACAAACTGTCGAAACTTTGATCAAATTCCGAAACATAAACAAATAGCTAATAAGGAATTGTGATTCCGATTATTGCCACTAGTTGGCGCTGATTTTATTCTATACAAATCGAAGTTAACGTTCTCGATATCGAATGCGTAAAAACAAAAACTCGCACTAGGCACACGGGTGGACAAAAGCTGTCTTCCATGAATTCGGGACTACGCCTTGGGTGTAGGAGTACCGGAAAAGACGCGTTAGGACCGGTGCCAACTCCGGAGCACACGTCCTCAGCACAATTGGGGGGATTCCGTCAGGCCCACTCGACTTCTGGATGTCCAGGGAGAGAAGTGCTTTGCGAACTGAGCGCTGTGAGAATAGCACATCCGGCATGGAGCACTCACACCGCGGGATGGTCGGCGGTATTTTCCCCCCGTCATCAAGAGTCGAGTTGGACGCAAAAAGGGAGCCTAAAAGGTCGGCTTTGTCTTTTGCGTCTTGGGCCAGTGAGTCGTCCTCCCTATGCAGAGATGGTAGTGATGGCTTACAGAAATTCCCTTGGACAGCCTTGGCGAGAGACCAGAATGCACGGGTTCCCGAAGGAAGGCGAACTAGTTTCTCGCCAATTCTGCCTATGTGCTCTGACTTTGCCTTGGCAATAACTCTTTTGAAGGACCTGGAGGCGAAGTTATACTTCTTTTTAAGTGTGCTGGTGTTTACATCACGAGTCACCGAAGCCGCAGCCCAGGCTTGATAACACTCCTGCTTACTGCGCAATGCAGTCTTACAGGAGCGACCAAACCAAGGCTGAGATCTGCCTCCGATAGGTACCACAGATGATGGAATAAATAGTTCCATTCCCTGTAGCACCACATCAGTGACAGAGTCAGCAACAGCGCTGGGATCATCCGGCGAGAAGCAAACCCGCCCCCATGGGTAGGAAGTAAAGAAAGAGCGCATTCCGTCCCAATCCGCCGACCTGTAATGCCAAACACGGCGGCAACCTGCAGAACGCAACCGCGAGGGGAGCGTGAGTGGCACCACACTCCGGATCAGACAATGGTCCGAAGAGCCAAGAGGGGCATCGACGGAAACCTCATATCCGTCCGGATGAGAGGTCAGCAGAAGGTCCAACAGGGAAGGTGTATGATCCTCAACATCTAGAATCCACGTAGGCGATGTAACCAGTTGTGTCAGACCATATGCCAAGGCAAAGTCATAAACAGATCTCCCCGCATGATCGGTTAAACGTGAACCGAGACATTCGGCATGGTGGGCGTTAAAATCGCCAAGGATCACGATCTCTGCGGATGGGACCTGTTGTAGCAAGGAATCTGTAGCCATTTGGACGTGGTCGATGAGTCGGTCTGTTTCGGCATTACCGCTATGGGACCTATAGAGGCACCCGTAGACGCGCGGATGGTCGTCGCTGTCTACGCGTAGCCAAAGGATGGACAGGTCCGAACCTTCAAGACTGCCGAGGCGTCGAGAACAGATGTCCTCTCTGACATACACGCAAACTCCAGCCCGAAGCACAAAGGAGTGCTCCAATTTGTACCCCGGGTAGGAGAGATACGAAATATCAGCCGGAGAGGAAACCTGCGTCTCGGTCAGAAAGAGCAAGGCCGGCTTCGCCGTCTTGAGATGGTAGTGGACGGCGTTTAGGTTAGAGTGAAGTCCCCTGATGTTGCAGAAATTCACGGATAGCGTGGCAGGGGTCACCTTGGTATTGTTGCTCAGTTTGCCCCGAGCAGTTTTGTTTTTGAGCGGAATTTTGCCCCCCCCCCCCCCCCCCCCAGAATACGCGGGGCAGCCTGAGCACCCACACTCAGGATTGGAATAACACGCCGGTATTCTGTGAGGTCGTGGTACTAACCCGGCTCGAGCCGGCCCATACGTGCAACATGCAAAAACTGCTGCGGGGCTCTACCACCGTTGTTTTATTTAGCACTTAAAACTGAAAATAATAATATAAGAGATGACAACATATTCAAACTTGGTTTGCTTGTGCATTACTTTTATGCATATTTTTATCTTTCATTAGTCTCTAAACAGTCTCTTGCTGGAGGTAGGCCTCTCACATAGTAGGGATGTGTTATAAACTTGGAAAGTGGAATAGCTATATTCACTATGATTAAGGAGGATTTACAATGTTTATTTCAAATTATATTCAACCATGACAAAAAAAATATTTTACCGTGATCCTTGTTTTTATACATCCACTTATTTCCATCTTCAGTAGTTACAAGTTTATCGCGACCAAAGCCTGCATTAACAAATGCATTGACGAAAGTTGCTGACAAGTTCTGTCTCGCCGAGTCAACTGGATGTTCAGCAAGTAGTGAAGGTCTAAGGGCTGATCCAGCAGACTCTAACCAAGTTTTGTACACTTCTTCTGGTGTTTTAGGTTCCATTATATCCAGCTAAAAACACATTAATAGTTGTGGCTTAGCTTTGTAGCTTTACAAGCAGCAATAAATTACAAGGATTGTTTAAAAATATATAAAATTTGTAAAACATTTTGTAGTTATTATAAGTAAAATTAAAAAATTCGATTTATTTATATCTATTTTAATAATTTTTATATTATCTTAATGTCAAATGATGAAACATAATTAAACTTTAAAATAGAAGCAAAAATCGCCTTCAAGAAACTAATAAAGAATAAAATAATTTCATTTAACGAAAATTTAAATCCCAAATTCAGAAGCTGTTATATGGAAACTATTTTCTGTTTTTTAGGTTCTGAAGTCAACTTTTACATTTTTTTTAAATTTAATTATTTTAACTCTTTTAGAATGATGTCTAAATCATTTTATTGAAAATATGACCCCCTAAAATAATTCAAATCTTTTCTCTTTTCTTTTTGGTGAAGATATAGCATAACTTACTTATTAAACAAATATATATATGTAAATAATAAGGCCTAGTTAAATTAATGTATAACTGTTTCGTAATATTTCTAACCTCTCTAGCTAAACTAAGATAATGGTCATTGATATGAGCATTCAGAAGAATGGTGCGAAGATCCTCATCCTCCAAATCAATTGGCACATATTGTCTAGCCAACATATAGCATAATTGTTTCTTTACCAACCTAAAAGATAATATTTTAGTTATTAATAAAATAATTTTATAATCTTAAAAATACATTTTTAAATCTATACTAAAGAGATCAAAAAAATGAAGTAATTAGTTAAACTATTATTCTTCACTACATTAAAATATTTAAATTAAAAATTATGTGCTTTAATGTACATACGGATCTGTGCAAGCATTGAAGACTTCTTCACACTTGGCTTTATCATGTAGCTGCATAGCTACAAGCATAGCACGAGGATACTCTCCAAATCGCAAATATGTGTCCAGAACACCTTGTAATATCTGTGTTGACTCTGGCTCCACAACATAGCTTGCACAACTGTTATGAATAATTAAATATAAAATAAAAGAAAAATAACATTACTGAGCATCAATAAATCGGCACTTAAAATTGAGATTTTTAAGGTGAAGTGCTTATTCTCTGAACTACCATGATTTTGTTATAGAGTTCTCATCAAGTGCCAAACTCAACAGTGCTGCTGATAAATGAACGAAGCCATACATGCAATGATTGAAAATCCAATCAAAAATGATGGACTCAAATTTACCATACTGGTAATTTGTCATTTACTGGTGGTATACGAGAGTCCACTACCAATGTTACCTTTTGGGTGTCATAAAAAACGACAGAGGGGAAAATGTAACAGGAGATGGTAGCAGTATCTTCCTGATAACAAATCAACAATAAAAAAATGCCAATCTGCCTGCCATGCAGGGTAACTATGGAAGATATGAGGCAATCTATGTGTTCAGCAGTGATTTTGTCACAGTTTGACCACCAGTCTCATAACAGCCAATGGGCTGGATGGATGATATCTTTCATGGATATCTGCTCTGGACTCACCTGGCCAGAGTGGTGAGTATAGTTGTTAGTACAAAAAGAGTTTTAGTACAAAATGTTATGGATAATTTTTTCTTACACTTTACTACACCTTGCCATAAAAGATTTTCAGAAATTCGGCTATAGACTTAAATCATTACTGTCAGTGCAAAAAAATGAATAAAATTTAACTCACAACTTTTAGTGTATGTATATTGTATAGTATAATGCAGTGGCGGAGTATAACCACTACCAAATATCATCCCATGGGTGTCATTAGGGGCGACAGAGGGAAAGAAATCAGGACGGGCAGCAGCATCTTACTACTAATCCCTAAAAATAATAAAGCAGTTGTCAACCTGCTTGCCAAGCATGGCAACCATGATATATATCCAGCCTATGAGGCAATCTATGACCTATGTTCAGCGGTGGACTTTAAAATAGGCTGTAACAATAATGGTACACAGTATAGTCCTTACAATATTTTCTATAGAGCTAAGAGTCTTTTCTATATAACTTCCATTAAAAATACAAAACTACTATGTAGCTTAAAAGGTATGCATGGTTTTTTCAAAAGAAAACCCTACCTGACTTTACAGACAAATCCAAGGTTGGAGGTACTTTGGTTCTTGATTCAATTAAGTGAACTTGTCCATGCACTTAAATATCATTAGTGCAATATGTATAATAAAGCAGTTGACAATACATACCCAATCAAATAGAGGCAAACACGTGGGTAATTGCTCTGATCCATATGCTGAGTAAGCAAATCAAGTCTATCAATTTCCATTAGTAAATCACACGCCTGAATCTCTGCAGAGTGCTGCATATCAAATGTAACTACATCACGCACTAGTGGCAGTAATGTATCCATATTTTCTATGTTCCATTCCTCAGCTATTTCACCTTCCAACTGCCTTTAATTATAATTAAATATTAATGCATAAGATATTAATTCATACATCATAAATTCAAATTGTAATTCAGAGATGAGTAAAATCAATCATACCTAACATATTCATGTCCCCATTCTCCAACATTGGACATAGTCCCCAAAAGGCAATATTTCAAACATTCTCTTTTTTCGGCTGCCTCCTAAAATTATTCAAACTGTTATTGATACTAATGGTAAACAATATATTGCAAATTGCACTATATTGCAATATGAGATTTTGAAGTTTTTTACAACTATTATCTCTATAAATACAACAAGTATAGTTATTGGATGTGTAGTGAAAGTGATGAGCTGCTGCATAGGCATAGTCAGGTTTAGATTTAGAGTGGATTAAAAAATAGAAATTTAGAGTAGGTAGGAAAAAATACTTCATTAAACAATAATAAAATATGAACAATGTAAAACCACATCATGAATTATTTAGTAATGAACTTGTAAGTGTTGAAAATTGAAACTTTACTTTAAAGCTAGCCAAGAGTGTCAGCCCCCCCCCCCCCCCCCTCTTCGTATCCTGCCCCACCTTGCCTATACCCATGAGAAGCTGTGTCTTTAGGAGTGCAGGTGATTAGTAATTGCGGTTGATTAGTGCAGGTGTGTAGTGAAGTAGTGTCCAATTCTGTTTAGTGGATGTGTTTAGTAAATTCAGTTCTTAGCAGTCGACCAAGAAGTATGGACATTTTTTTAACAGAAGCGAGCGTCCGATGCTAAATGCTAAACACTTAGCACTGCTGTCCAAACATGTTTAGTGGCAGGCATGCTGTGAGTGAGGGGAAAGGAAGGGCGTGCAGGGTGTGACATTCGCAGTCCACTTGCAAAAAAATAGAACACGCTTCTAATCACTTTACTACACAGGTTATTAATCACTTGCACTAATCAATTGCTGTCCACTTGTGTTTACTCCTAAACACTAAGCACCTCCACTAATCACTAATCAAAGTGAAAACAGGCCATTTCTGATAATAACTCATATTAACAAAAAATCATAATTGTCAGCACAGCTGGCAAGTGTAGGCACTATAGCCAATATTGATCTTAATTTTTTTATGTGGTAGTGTCATGCTGCACCTGCATATAGCTCTGACAGAATACCAGCATTTCAACAGAAGAAAATTGCTGTAGCCTTGGTAATGAGGCATTCCATCTTAGTCCTCAGGTGTGACAAATAATCAGCATTTTGATTCTGAATCAAGAATAGATTCACATACCAGCATGTGGACTGTTTGCTTGTTACCACTGTACTATAAAAAATTAGCCACAGCATTAGTTTTTGTACAAAAATGGCCTTCTAGTCAGGTGCACCGACCAATATAATGGCAATATAAGATGCACATTGACCTGCATGTCTAAATGTTTATCAGTTCAAAGAGTTTTGAAGGTAATTCAGCATGGCACATGTCACTAGGTTATAAAAAGTTCTATTGTATGTGGATGCTTCAAGGACATTATTGCTATATATCTAGTTTTACAGTTTTATTCTATTTTTTGTTATTTTATTCAACCAACATACAAAAACGTTTTATAATAAAATAAATAGATATTTATATTATCAAAACTTGTTCTATAAAGTTTTAAAATATCATACAAAATTTAAGACTAATAAATGTGTTGTAATTATTTCATCCACACATGCTTTAGGAAATATCACACACCATTCCTGACACAATCTCAAAGTGAATGTGTAAAAGCATCACTACACCAAGTGCTCCAAAACTTTGAATGTGCATGTGTGCATGACGGACTACCAGTTTCAAATGTGTGCCTATTACTTTTACACAAACACTTAGGGGTGCATGCTGCAGTGGCACATATTTCCTGGGATTCAAAGGCTATACATAAAGGCTATTATTAGGAAGGTGCTGCTACAATCTTCTGGTTCATTTTCCTCTGTTGTGTCTTATAACACCCACAGGATGTAATGGCGCACTGGATTGGTCAACCCACATTAAAATACATTAAAACATTGTGTTATACATTTGATATACATACTCTCATGTTTAACTAGTTAAGATCAAATTAGTTTTTTTGCTGCAACTTGAATTTTTGTTATTGTTATATATAAATTTTTGTACTTACTGTTGAACCACTAACTCCCATTGCAAGAACCGAGACAACATCAGCACAAAATTTCTTTGTCTTTTCATCATTAATCTTTTCATAAACTTGCTTGAGTGATGGATAATGCTCTCTCAAAAATTTTAAGGGTTTTGGTACTGATGTCATAGATGTAGTTGACGTTCTTATTAAATTACTTAACATTTGTAAAGCTGGAAAATAAAGATCGACGTCGGAACCCTACAAAAATAAAGGTTGATTTGACTTTATATGTATATATATATATATTACTAAAATATGAAAACAAAATAGATACGTATACGTATACGTACCACAAGTTTTTCAACGAGCATGTTCAGCTCTTCTTGAAGTCTTTTATCTTCTTCAGACTGAAAATTATAAATAATTTGGTTTATTTTGAAGATTTATAATATGAACCATTGTAATTTTATAAGTAAAAAAAAGTTTACCAAATCATCGTTTGGTGCCGGTACAGGCTCAGCCTTTTCCTTTTTAGGATCCTCTGTTTTATTTTTTACAGTCATTTTGAAATGTTTTAAATCCTTTTAATTCAAAATTTGTAACTCGATAAAATGTCCAAGTTATAATGGATGAATTTGATAAATTTGACAAGTCACTTCACAGATATAATCAGAAAAAATATAAATGTACATCATAGATAAAAAATATAATACTCACTATAAAATATTGATAACTAATTTTGTAACGAAAATTTGACTATTAAGCGTGTTTCTTAAGGCTTTATTAAAATAAATAAAGATATTTTTCGTCATATATAAAATTGATTTAGCGTTTTAATACGGCTATTAAAATTCAAAATACCCACAAATAATTTTAATAAATTTTTCAATCATTCATCTATCAAAGAGTATAGTGGTGGTAGACGTGGTAGAGCCATGCTAAAACTATATTAGTAGTATAGTTGTAGCACGAATGGGTCGGCTCGGCAGGGGAAGGAACACGCTCTCACAGGATACCAACGTAAAATAGCAGCTTAACGCTGCTGTGTTTCGCATGGTAAGTGTAGAGAACCGGAGACCCTTTTTACTCTGGAAATGAGGCATTCCATCTTAGTCCTCACGTGTGACAACGCATCTGCATTTTGATTAGTAATAGAGGATAGATGAAGATGTTCATGGGCCGCAGCAACCACTTACCATCAGGTGAACTGTGTGCTCGTTTGTCACCCTTAACCTATAAAAAAAATAGTACAAAACAGCACAAAACACTGTAATTGTTCAATTGCATGTCGACGTAATATTTGCATAACGATAAATTGGTAAAACATGCATACTATGTTTTTTTTTGCGCCCATAAGCAATTGAAAAGGGCTACCCCCGTAAACGAGAGGGAGGTGGTGAATGCTTTATGCATACCATGTATATATTTATGTGGGACTCACTGTGAGTAGCCTAACCTATCAATCCTAAGTGTACCCAAAACACCACCTGTGAGATTGGCATTGGCTTATGACGCCTTTCTGCCGAATCGGAAGCGACCCTCTTTTGGGAAAAGAGGGCGCAGGCGGCTACGAGCCGCTGAGGGGGAGCCTACTAAGGCAAATTTAAGAAGAGTCAGCCCGAGCCGCCAGGAGACATTTCAGGTCGGTTGAAAGTTTGTTTGACGTGTCCGAGAGAGAGTTTCTCGGCCTGCGAACTCAATAGCGAGAGGGGAGTGGGGCTGTATAAGTAGCTGCCTCACGAATGAAGTGATTGGAGTGAGACTCTGAGGCTTTGAAGAAGTTCTCAGAGAGTTTTTAGAAATTGTTGAATTGTAGGGAGCTCTAAGTCCCGATAGAGGTCGGCGTTACAGATATACCAGGGTGCGTTCGTAGCTCGACGACAGAAGAGGTTTTGAACTATTTGGAGTTCATTAATGATTTTGGGGTCAGCTTGAGCAAATATTGGGCCCGCGTAAGTCATGACTGGTCGTATCGGTCAGACTTTATAAAGAGTTCGCTTGTTTCGGAGGGACATTTTACTGTGACGGCCCAGCATACTGTTGAGCCTACTCAGATAAAAACGGGCGTTGCGGGTTACTCTTTTGACATGGGGCCCGAAGGTGAGCCTCGTGTCAATGGTGACACCTAAATATTTGGCAGACGTATGCCAGGGGACAGGGGTCCCTAACATATGGATTGGTGGAGTGCTGAACACCTTTCGACGAGATGGGAATGTCGTTGGTGAATAGGATATACAGGAGAGGAGCAAGTACTGAGCCCTTGGGGACACCAGCTTTGATGGGGTGCTGAGAGAAGAGCGTGCCTTCGTATCTAAAACGAAATTTACGATCCTTCAAGTAAGAGATCACAAGACGTACAAGACGATCGGGGAGACCTATTTTATATAATTTGTAGATAAGGCCTTCGTGCCACAATCTATCAAAAGCTTTTGCTATGTCGAAAAAGACCACAATTGTCTTATGACGACGAGGATAAAAGCCGCTGAGGATATATTCCACAATACGGTGAACTTGTTGGGGACAAGAATGTTTCGCTCGGAAAACAAATTGGTGGGGATGACAAGAGGGTCACCGTCTGTGGGAAACAGATGGAGCCTCATGCGAGTGAGGATGACTCTTTCGAAGAGTTTGCCCATGGCCTTGAGGAGGCTGATGGGACGATCACTGGAGGGGAGGTTGAGAGGCTTTCCTGGCTTGGGAATACCAATGACAGTTGCCTCTTTCCACGTAGTGGGAAAGTAACTAAGATTGAAGCAGGCGTTATAGATAATAGCTAAAAGGGTTATCAACTGCTCAGGAAAGTGTTTAAGGGCTTGTTTGGAGATGCCATCCGCGTCCGGAACCTTTTTGGGCTTCAGTCCTTTGATGAGGGATGAGATCTCATCATTGGACACAGTGATAGGGTCAGAGGCTGTGGGGGGTGAGTTACGGCGGCGGACCTCATCCTCCACTGTCTGGACGTGGGAGGGGTCGGTGGGTTGAGAAGTAGGAGAGCATTGTGCAGCAATGCTGTCTGCAAAGCACTCAGCCTTTTCCTCGTCCTCGAAGGCAACCGTACCGTCGGGACCGAAGAGAGGGGAAGTGTGGGTGATAGCGTCTATGCGGAGGGCTCTTGCTATCTGATAGTACGCTGTATGAGGGTTTGATATTCTCCATGAGCTTGCTCTTTTTGAGGTCTCGAAGTTCGGAGAGGCAGAAACGGACTTCTTTTTGAAGACGATTGGCCGTACGCCTATATTCGGGGGTGAGATATATTGCTGCTCTCCGTAAAGCAGCTCTCTTGGCTTTCAATAAGTTGCTAATATGTAAGGAAAGACCATCATTATTAGCAACCGGGATGACACTTTCATTCTCCTTAAGGGGGGATTTTATAAGGGTGGAAAGAGCATCGACCGCGGTGTCGATTTTTTCGGGACTGTCGAAGTCCGACGAGAGGGAGATGGGGGAGTCCTGTGAGTCCATAGCTTTAGCCAGGGTCTCCTTGAAGCCCTTCTAAGTGAAGGTTTTCATGGAGGGGGTTGAGGGAGGTGGCTGATGGCCTAGAATGAGGGAGAGCGGTCGGTGGTCGGATTCTAGATCGTCTAGAGTCTCGATGCTCTGAGGTTGAGGGAAACTCTTTTGACTAACGCACAGTCTAGCACGTCGGGAGCGTGGCGGTGTTGTCGGGATAGTAAGTGACACCGAGGGGTCTGTGGACGGTAAGGTAAAGAGACTGCGTGATATCAAGCAGTTTCTTGCCACTCTGAGGCAAGTTCATTCAGTATGCTTGGAGTTAAAATCTCCAAACATAATAACTGAGTTACCTAAAGATAAGATAGCCTCAAAATCTTTTTTGAGGGAGAGGGTTCCACTGGGGATGTAGAATAGAATAGAATAGAATAGAATAGAATAGAATAGAATAGAATGGAGTAGAATGGAATGGAACGGATTGGAACGGAATGGAACGGAATAGAACGGAATAGAACGGAATAGAACGGAATAGAATGGAATAGAATAAAATAGAATAGAATAGAATAGAATAGAATAGAATAGATTAGATTAGAACAGAACAGAACAGAGTATAGTAGAGTATAGTAGAGTAGAGTAGAGTAGAGTAGAAAAGAGTAGAGTAGAGTAGAGTAGAGTAGAGTAGAATAGGATAGAATAGAATAGAATAGAATAGAATAGAATAATTTTTATTCAATATTCATTACATGTGTAATTCTTATTGAAAGTCATTTTTTACTTTACCACTGGTTCGAAAAAAAACCTCTGTCCTGGGAAGAACCAGCAATAAACCCAGCGGGACTTTTTTTAAAATAAATTTTACAATATAAATAATTACGAACTATTTACAAAATTTATTTTAGAAACTGCTTGGAAGCGACCACTTCATTCCCAGGGGTTATTATCAACCAATTATTCATTTATACTATAATAACCCTTTTTATACAGTTTCAGCTTAATAGCAAGAGGCTATGACGATGGACTGATGTCCAGTCATGGGTAGCCTGCATACCGTGGCTTCCATGTTGGTAAGCTGCGAAGTAGGAATGTGAGAGCAATGAAGTGTCTTCTCGTAGTAAATGGCAGTACCACCGCCTTTTCTATTCCTTCTTTTTTTTTAAAACGTTACCCCCACACTAGGATTTTCTCCTGTGTCGTGGAGGCAGTTTAAAAACATAAATTGCACAAGGACAAACATCCAGACCTGGAACAATTATTTATAGGCCATACAATTACTTGTTCCGTGCGGGATTCAAACCCGCGGCCCACAGCACAAGAACTGATTGCTAAGCCACTGCGCCACGGAGAATTTTTTCTTTGCGGTCAGATCTGTCATTACGAAGAAGAGAAAATTAATTTCCTTAATTTTTATACGTGGTAGAGCCATGCTGCAGCTATATTAATAGTATAGTTGTAGCACGAATGGGTCGGCTTGACCGGGGAAGGACCATGCTCTCACAGAATACCAGCGTAAAATAGCAGCTTAATACTGCTGTGTTTCGTATGGTGAGTGTAGAAAACCGGAGACCCACTTTACTGGAAAAGAGGCATTCTATCTTAGTCCTCACGGCTGACAACGCATCTGCATTTTAATTCGCAAACGAAGATAGATGTAGATGTCTATGGGCTACAGCAACCACTTACCATTAGGTGGACTGTGTGCTCGTTTGTCACCCTTATTCTATAAAAAAAGATTTGAGGTTCGTTTCCTGGATGAGGAGGAGGTCGGCTTCGCGATCTCGAAGAAAGAGCTTAAGCGCTGGGAGGTTATTTCGCAAGCCGCGAATGTTAAAGGATACAAGCGATAAACGCTTTGGCTTAATACGACCGTGAGATTTTGGGAGAGCTGAGTGATCTGTCATTGTAAAGTTAAGTTAATTTAAATTAACTTACATTGTAAAGTTAAGTTAATTTAAATTAACTTAACTTTACAATGACAACACACAGAATGAACCACAAAGATTGTGCTCAGCAAGAGCAAGGAGACGGTCCTAAGGGGGCCGAGCAGCACGCAGTTTGCGCGCTAGTATGGCAATCTCGCTCACGTCAATGCTCCGAATAGCAGCATACACCGTATTCAGGTCATCAACTATTGAGGGTTGTACCTGTTGAGGGGCAGAGGGTATCCGCGTAGGCTCGGATTTTTTAAGGCCCCAGGGGAAAACTGGAGGCTGCGTAGGCTTGAAGAAGCCCGGAGGGGGCCGAATCCATTAAATATAGCTTGATTAGAATGACAGCTGTCATCAAAAGTGATGGCATAACTTTTTGCGTCCAACGTAACGAGTGATTTGATTAATATTGGAAAACGAAAAATCATTAATATTTTTTTATAGGATAAGGGTGACAAACGAGCACACAGTCCACCTGATGATAAGTGGTTGCTGCGGCCCATAGACATCTACATCTATCCTCTATTACAAATCAAAATGTAGATGCGTTGTCACCCGTGAGGACTAAGATGGAATGCCTCATTTCCAGTAATAAGGGCCTCCGGCCACCTGCACTCACCAAGCGAAACACAGAGATAAACCTCTACTTCACGCTGGTTTTCTGTGAGGTCGTGGTACCACCCCGGTTCGAGCCGGCCTATCCGTGCGACAGCAAAAGCTGCCGCGTGGCTCTACCACTGTTAAAATTAATTTCTGGCGAGTGAAAAATATTTTTGATGACAGTTCTTCGCTTAAAAACGTGCATAACACATAAATTCGGCTTTAAAATTAAACCAGTTTGTATTAATTGACTGTCACAAAAATAAGCTCAATAATTTACTGCCACCTTACAAGGTTACCCCAAGTTGCAAAAATGTTAGAGATGGGACAAATCAACATATGAGAATTAATTAAATTAAAATAAATTTTTCCTTTCAAAACGAGAAAAATTTATTCAACAATATTAAAATAAAAGTGTTATCAACAATATTTAAAAAAATGGATTTAATTATAAAAAGAGTAACAAAAGAAAAATTATTATGGAACGTAAAGACATTGCTCTTGCACGCCTTGATTTTTTACGAAAAGTGATAGATATTAATAATTGGGATAAAGTGGTGTTCCTGGATGAAACATGGCTGAATGCAAACCACACGATTTCTAAAACTTGGACACCAAGGTACCTGAGGGCAAAGGGCAAAAGTTAATAATTTGCCATGCTGGTACCTCGTCTGGATTTGTCCCAAATTGTTTACTGGTATTCAAGTCTGTCGAGATGACGGAGTACCACAAATAGATGAGTTTTGAAAAATTCGAAGAGTGGTTTATAAAACTCCTAAATAATTTAGATGAACCACATGTGATACTAATGAACAATGCACCCTATCATTCAGTTCAAAAAATAAGCATCTGTCAGCGAATAACCGAAAGAATAAAATAATTTCGTGGTTACAAAGCAATGGAACACAAACCGACGGCACTATGTTGAAAAAAAAAATAACTTTTGCGTTTAGTGGGAATACACAAGCTCCAAACTCCAATATATGTTTTAGATGAGATGACAAAAGAAAAGTTACATACCGTTATCCGTCTGCCATCGTATCATTGCCAGTATAACGCAATAGAATTAATTTGGGCGCAAGTTAAAGGTATTTAATATTTAAATGAAGTTGATTAATTAGTGCATTACTAATAAAAAAAATAACTCATTGTTTTCGTTTTAGGTCATGCAACAAGACACAACACCACCCCATCGTTCACGGCAAATAAAATTTTTAATTTGCTGAACAATGCATGTGAACATGTAACATCAAATGATTGGAAGAAAGTGGTCGATAAAACGCGAAGAATTATCACAGAAGATTGGCAACGTGATGTCCGCTTTGATTATTTGTGTGATCAGGAATTAATAATTAATCTCGAAGATTGTTTCAGTGACTCTGTTTCTGATGATGATGATTGTGACTTAAGATGACATGATAATAAATTAATTGACAAAACACACTTGTCAATAAATTTATTATTGCTATTTTTTTATTAGCCTAAAATGAGTCCCAATGTTTAAATACTTGGTTAAAATAAGTAGGTATTGGGTGCATATTTTTTATTAATATTAATGAATACTTTATCGATATATCGATTAAATGTTCCTAGCACTAGTTACATCAGAATGACAGCTGTCATTCTAATCAAGCCATATTTAAAAAACTATAAAGGGCTAAGAACTAACAAGTTTTTTTTTGGCGGGAACTTGACCGGCGGCAGATTGTTCCTGTACTATTGTACAGGAGGAACAATCCAACCATTATTTAAACAATAGTTTAAATAATGGTTTGAAGTGGAATTTCATACGTAAAAGTGGTCCGTTTTGGTGTATTAAATGTCTGCGCATGGGAATAATTAGTAGTGGAAACGGTGAAACAAGTGCTCCGATGGTGATGTGATTCTCAAGATAAGGTGTCTGTCTACTTAAGCCCCTTGAGATACTTATAATCTTTGGAGATACTGTCGCCAAATGTCTGCAGGCTCAAGTTGCCATCAAAATCTCCCAATAGCTGCGCAATGTGGCGCATCAACATATTGTAAAGCAGTGTACTATAAAGTATTATTATCCTTTGATACTGAGATAAATTAATGAAGACATGGTTTAAAAGACTAACATCCAAGCCAATAATCTTAATAAAAAAAACGCTAAAACCGCAAACCGGGCTACCTGAAATACAAAAAACATTCATCGTCTCAAATTACCATAACAAATAGTCGACCCAACCCATAGTCGGCATTATTTATGCATTATTCAGCGATTTATTAGCATTTTAAAAAAGCACCACCGTTTAATAAACAAGTAGTTTGCGATTTCGTTTGAACCTAAACAGTCATTGATCGCATGAGTGAGATAATTGTACATGTAATTTAAACGAATTTTGTTCATATAAAAAGTGAAAAACAACTACAAGAAATTTATATAGGTAAATAAGCACTTAACATCATGTTTGCTATGCGTTCCCAAGTAAAAGGTACGTAGATTTAGTTTTTGTTCTGAGTCTAACTTAGTTTTAATATATAATCATAAATTTTATACTACAAATAGATTATTGTGCAGGTATATTACTTTCTTTCTTTGACATGGATGCTTATCCTTTAAGCCAGGTGATATTTTATTTACCTAAGCCACAGGTACTTACTTAATACAAAGATCATGCTTCACAATTTTTTTAAATAATAATAACTTACAAAATGTCTACTATAATAATAATAATTACAGCGGACATTTTGTAAGTTTTACTTTACTCATTAATACTTTTCTACTCTACAATAAAAATATTTTCATTAGCTTGTTGTTTTAAGGTAAGCGTGCGTAATTGTCGTGAAATAACATCATAATACGTACGTACGTAATTTAATGTGTGTAAGCGTGTTTTCTTTGGTAATGGATTCGTACAGTTGTACATTTACCAGTGTCAAGTAATAAGAATAAACGTCCTTTAACATAATTTGCTTAAAAACATCTTCGCAATACATTACAAAGTTTTTGGATAATTTTGAGCCAGCTGAGAGTTGATGATGATAGTGTCTAAAGGCGCCTAACAGACAAAAAGACTTAAGACTCACATCGCCATCGGAACCACGGAGCAAATCCGTGATCGGAGGGACCTAAGTTGATATATTTATTTCTATAATTTTTTCTCTAAGGGATTCCGTTGAAACCAAGTTATAAATTGCTCCTATGGATCTCATCTTCATCTGCATTACCGTTTAAAAGTAAATTATTGACGTTAAACCAGTGTACTACTTCTGATATAGCATTATTTACTTCGCCATATTTTATTAATTGCCTTTCGGAGCACTTCTTTCATCGTTTTCATAAATAGTTCACATACGCGCACATTTAATACACAAAATCGCAACACCCTTTTGTAACAGAATCTACTACAAACCCTCATTTAAACACACAATAATATACAGGAACAGCAACCCGCTGACCTAACCACATGATTATTGATCACAAATATTATATGATATGCAGCAATTAAGACTTAAAATTCAAAAAAAAATATAAATTGCCTCGCCTAAGCAGTACTTAAAATCATATAGTATAATGATGAACAAACTGACAAACAAACTCACTCCTCGTGATTATCATCAATTCGTTGATTGTGTCTCAAGTTGAGTTGAGTGTTAAGTTGAGTTCAGAATTGGGTTTACTTTTGGGTTGAGTGTCCTCCCAACCAAATTTCTGTCACAGCAGCCAGTCTCAACGGAGACTAACCCATCAGCATAGTACAGAATTATAATTTCCGAATGTATGCGGAAGCACAGTTGCACTCTCTATTCTCTCAATATCATCAAATCGCAATCCGACACGGTCCGAGAGAGCTTAGGCGCAGGACCAATAATTTACACACCAGATGGAAGTTAGCGTAGAACATTTTTTTTTTAACTAAACTGTATGCCAATTAATTTCTCCATAAATGCTCCAGCAGAATCCGAAATTGCTCCACCTCTATTGTTATTAGTTAATTTAAAATTAATTTAAAAAAAAATCAAGTATCCAAAATTTAATTTTGCTATAAAATACAAAATATCTACTTTTTAAAATTAAACTGTATGCCAATTAATTGCTTAATAAATGCTCCAGCAGAATCCGAAATTGCTCCACCTCTATTGTTATTAGTTAATTTAAAATTAATTTAAAAAAAAATCAAGTATCCAAAATTTAATTTTGCTATAAAATACAAAATATCTACTTTTTAAAATTAAACTGTATGCCAATTAATTGCTCCTTAAATGCTCCAGCAGAATCAAATTGCTCCACCTCTATTATTATTAGTTAATTTATAATCAATTTTAAAAAAAATTAAGTATCGAAAATTTAATTATGCTATAAAATATAAAATATCTAGTTTTAAAAAATTAAACTGTATGCCAATTAATTGCTTAATAAATGCTGCAGCAGAGTCCGGAATTGCTCCACCTTTATTGTTATTAGTTTATTTATAATTAATGTTTAAAAAATTTAAGTATCGAAATTTTAATTTTGCTATAAAACATAAAATATCTATTTTTTTAAAATTAAACTGTGTGCCAATTAATTGATCCTTAAATGCTCCAGTAGAATTCGAAATTGCTCCACCTCTATTGCTATTAGTTAATTTATAATTAATTTAAAAAAAATTGTCGGAAATTCAATTTTGGTATAAAACATAAAATATGTACTTTATAAAATTAAACTGTATATCAATTAATTGCTCCTTAAATGCTCCTCTAGAATTCGTATCTTTTCTGTCTTTTAATATTACTACATTCTATTGATGATGGCGCTATTACTCAAATAGGATCGCTCTATCTCAAAATTAATTATAAATTAACTAATAGCAATAAACAGAAAAATTACGGATTCTACTGGAGCATTTAAGGAGCAATTAATTGTCATACACTTTAATTTTATAAAGTACATATTTTATGTTTTATAGCAAAATTAAATTTTCGATAATTATTTTTTTTTAAATTAATTATAAAACAACTAATAGCAATAGAGGTGGAGCAATTTCGGATTCTGCTGGAGCATTTATTAAGCAATTAATTGGCATACAGTTTAATTTTAAAAACTAGATATTTTAAATTTTATAGCTAAATTAAATTTTCAATACATAATTTTTTTTAAATTAATTTTAAATTAACTAATAACAATAGAGGTGGAGCAATTTTAGGTTCTGCTGGGGCATTTAAGGAGCAATTAATTGGCATATAGTTTAATTTTTAAAACTAGATATTTTATATTTTATAGCAAAATTAAATTTTCGATACTTAATTTTTTTAAAATTGATTATAAATTAACTAATAATAATAGAGGTGGAGCAATTTCGGATTCCGCTGGAGCATTTAAGGAGCAATTAATTGGCATACAGTTTAATTTTAAAAACTAGATATTTTATATTTTATAGCAAAATTAAATTTTCGATACTTAATTTTTTTAAAATTGATTATAAATTAACTAATAATAATAGAGGTGGAGCAATTTCGGATTCTGCTGGAGCATTTAAGGAGCAATTAATTGGCATACAGTTTAATTTTAAAAACTAGATATTTTATATTTTATAGCAAAATTAAATTTTCAATACTTAATTTTTTTTAAATTAAATTAAATTAACTAATAACTATAGAGGTGGAGCAATTTTAGATTCTGCTGGAGCATTTAAGGAGCAGTTAATTGGCATACAGTTTAATTTTAAAAACTAGATATTTTATATTTTATAGCAAAATTAAATTTTCGATACTTAATTTTTTTTAATCGATTATAAATTAACTTATAACAATAAAGGTGGAGCAATTTCGGATTCTGCTGGAGCATTTAAGGAGCAATTAATTGGCATAGAGTTTAATTTTAAAAAGTAGATATTTTATATTTTATAGCAAATTGAAATTTTCAATACCTAAATTTCTTTTTAATTAATTTTAAATTAACTAATAACAATAGAGGTGGAGCAATTATAGATTCTGCTGGAGTATTTAAGGAGCAATTAATTGGCATACAGTTTAATTTTAAAAAGTAGATATTTTATATTTCATAGCAAATTTAAATTTTCGATACCTAATTTTTTTTTAAATAATTATAAATTAAATAATAACAATAGAGGTGGAGCAATTTCGGATTCTGCTGGAGCATTTATGGAGCAATTAATTGGCATACAGTTTTGTTAAAAAAAAGAAAGAAGACATAAAATTCATAATAAAACAATAAAAACTACACAATAAGAAGGAGTGTAAGGCCTATGGTGAAATTTAGTAGGTCTTAATAACCACCGACCAAGTATTTAAGAAAAACCAAATAAAAAAAAATTGACCACGATACGTTACTCAAATCATCCAGATCAACAAAGCATTTATTCATAAAGATAAAGATTATGAATTTAGATAGCTAAGCGTAATATTAAAATATATCATACTTACGATTTATTTGGAGTGATTTTTACT